AAAGAGGCAACAGTAACTTTCGCAATTAACATGATTCAAGATTTTCACGAAACTCTGATGTTCCACTGATTTCAAGAAAGTCATCACATTCTTAATAGTTACTATGGCAAAGCAACAATTACATTACACATTACCTTAATGTGGGGATGGAAAACAGAAGGGGCGTGTGAGGCTAACACTAATCTTGTGAAAACAAGAGCTTCAATCTTCAAATTTGAGGTAGATGATTTGTCCTGTTAACAGAAGAGAGAACTTACAAGATCTTTGGCCACACATAGAAAAACTAACAGAACTAAAACAAATGAGCACTCGTCAAAGGGGGCAAAAACTTACACATAATGCTTTCTCGATTCCAGGAGTAAGAGATCCAATATGGTCTGCAAGACAATCAGGCAGCACAACTACCAGTTCTTTCAAGACCGAGAAGGCACCAACCTGTAGACATGAACAATGTGATCAGATGTATGAGCTCTAAGTTGATCATCAAAAGACCACACTAGGTAGAATTCCACCTTAGTTTTGATAGATTTCTCACGCAGTTGTTTGTTTACAGATCTAACGACTTTTGAGACATCTTGCTTCAACATGTATCTGGGACTGCATGCCATGACAATATCACAGCATCAGAATCCATAAGTCAATGCAGATATCAAAGTACTAGTGAGGAAAATCCTTTTTCTCATCCCAACAGAGAGTATGGTATATTGAATCGTGTAACGTATGAATTTCATCATCAGTATTAGCAAAAATATAAAGGTATGAAAAATCCCCTTCTGACAGAAATTACAAATACGATAAGTCAGTCTTCATGTTTCCACAAATAATCAAAATTCAATTTCTTGATCTCTATCTTCCATTTTCATAAAGAACTAAAAGTTCTTCTGTCGAACCTTTGGTGCAAAAATTTACCCAATAAGTGACAATACAGCTAAGACATTGTCAAGGAAATTAGAGATAACTTAGCTAAGCTCACTCTTCTCCCTTCTCTTCTTCATCACCTTTCTCTTAAAAGTGTTGAACTCGTGACTTGTAGGTTGAGCGAATACAATGACACCACTATATGTAGATCTAAAGCATGTATCTTATTAAAGAATCTCTTATGTGATTCAGGGCGAAGGACACTAAATTCTTTTTTTTTCCTAGATGAAAAAAGCA